GATTGAAATGGAATATCTTTCAAGATCCTAATAATCTCTAGGTATGCATTTTGTAACTTCCTAGATATTGATCTTTACTAGATGTAAGCCAAATGTCTCTTCATAACATATTACCCTAATAATTTTAAAGACGGTTTTTTTTTTACTAGCTTTCTTTCTACATACATCTTCTAATGACTATACTGTAAATGTATTTGAAATATTATACAGTTTCTCATGGGAAGATTTTAGAATTGAGAAATTTTACAAAATAGCTTTTATGGCATCCTCTACTGATGCTACAAGACATATATATATATATATATATATATATATATATATATATATATATATATATATATATATATATATATATATATATATATATATATATATATATATATATATATATATATATATATATATATATATATATATATATATATATATATATATATATATATATATATATATATATATATATATATATATATATATATATATATATATATATATATATATATATATATATATATATATATATATATATATATATATATATATATATATATATATATATATATATATATGTATATATATATATACATAGATATATACTATATATATATATATATATATATATATATATATATATATATATATATATATATATATATATATATATATATATATATATATATATATATATATATATATATATATATATATATATATATATATATATATATATATATATATATATATATATATATATATATATATATATATATATATATATATATATATATATATATATATATATATATATATATATATATATATATATATATATATATATATATATATATATATATATATATATATATATATATATATATATATATATATATATATATATATATATATATATATATATGAAGCAAAAAAAAAAGGACCATAAATAAAACACAAAGAGAAGCGAAGATGTTCTATTGATTACGACTGGGCTCCAGTCCTCTTCAGGTGAAAACATGAGTCATATTTTACCAAAACCGGGACTCGAACCTTAGACACATAATTACTGTGTCAAGGCGCTACCAACTACACCACAGAAGGTCGAAAAGAGAAACCATCCTTACAGCGTAACTGCTATACTAGGAATGAACGCATTCTTCCTGATGTGTTTTTGTTCATATTACAGCTTCTCCCAATTTCACTCGTGGCTTCGTTTTCGCATTTAATTCAAATCCCAATTTAAATAGGATCAACAATAATCAAATAAACACTTTGATATATGTGAAAACATAAATCATATTTTACTCAGACCGGGATTCGAACCTAAGATACATAATTACTTTACCAAGGCGCTACCAACTACACCACGAGTGAGGTTGGGATAAGCTGCAATATGAACAAAAAGACATTCAGAAAGAGTGCGTTCATTCCTAGTATAACAGATATGCTGTAATGTTGGTTTCTCTTTTAGAGCTTCTTTGGTATAGTTGGTAGCGCCTTGGCACAGTAATTATATGTCTTAGGTTCGAATCCTTTTCAGGGGTAAAACATGATTCATGTTTTCACATATCTGTGCTTGTGTGTGTAATTTAATAACGTTCGATAACTTACGTACACCAAACTAATTATAATGCTGTGGCACGCTTATTGCAAAAATTCAGTAGGAATGAAAAGATGATAATGGAATACAAAATTAAAATTAGAAAAAAAATTAACAGAATATTCTCCTTCATTCCATATACAAATCTTTAAAAAATCTATATGCAATTCGTCTCGACCGCTGATAGAAATATCAGTTATAACAATCCTTTACTTCACATATAAAAAAATTGCTTTGCATAGGAATTTAGTGTTGCAGCGGTCGAGATTATTAAGGATATATTGTCCCTGTCACAGTGTTGTTATGCAGAAGGCTTAATACTGTCATAGTTGTTAGCATGTGTTATGTTGTTACGAAATCCCCTTGATAAGACGGTCAGCATCACAGATAAACGAATTTTGCGGTGGCTCGTAGGGTAGTTTATCTTACTCTTGTTTTTATAATTGGATTTGGTTTATTTCGAATTCACTATCTTTCTCACTAAGTTTTTTTTATTCATTAATATAATACTATTCCAATTCAGACTGGCTGGTTTGTTAAATGAACATTACCTTTTGGATTATTCTTCTTCTTCTTCTTCTTCCTCTATTTGCGTTCCCATTTTCATATGGGGTCGCATCTCTTCACCAGTCGTCTCCACTGGTTCCGGTCCATCACTTGCTCCTCCTCCAGCTGTCTCTCTCTGAGATCCTCCTTCAGTCGGTCCTTCCACCGTAGTTTAGGTCTTCCTCGTCTACGTCTGCCCTCCACGTCCATTTCCATCACTCTCACACCCACGTAGTCTTCTTCTCTCCTCTTCACATGACCGAACCACTGTAATCTCCTCTCCTGCGCTTTCGCCGATGCCTCCACCACCTTCACTGTACCTCTGATCCGGTCATTTCGTATCCTGTCCTCCCTCGTCACCCCACACATCCACCTCAGCATTCTCATTTCTGCGACATCTATCTTCCTTTCTTGAACCTTTTTCACCGGCCACGTCTCCGCTCCGTACAGCACCGCTGGTCTCACAACTGACTTGTACACTTTTCCTTTCACTCTAGCACTGATTTTCTTGTCACATAGCACCCCTGATGTTCTCTTCCAAACTGAATTTTAATCTTTTGATACTGTTCCTTCTTAAAACTATTAAAAATTTAAAGAACCTGATTAATTTAAGAAGCTTAATTCGTAGCTCGTTGGATCATTACCTTGCTCACTCCCAGATGTTTAGAAATTTAATTCCAAAAACTTTTGAAAAGTATCTCTTCGTCAGAACAGCATGTAGAAACGAGCAATGACTAATTGTGTCGTATATCTTTACTTCATCGTTCCGGCTAACCAGTCTGTGAAACCCTCAATAGAAATCTTAGGTTAGTGGTTGAATAAAACCCTCGTGGGCTGGGACTAAGCTAAGAATTTCGTTACATTATAAAGAGATTAAGAGAGAGTCAAAGATCATTTTAATAAAGAGAGTAGAATATTTATAGTTGAGTCCTTGATTTTAAGCATTTTTCCTGTAGTGCAGTTCTTTGGGTATCATGTGACACAACTTTATCAAAAAAATGTCCAAAATCTTCAGAGTTTTGCTGCCAAAGTGGCTGATAGTAACGAGAGAAAATATGAATGAGCTACGTCATATATTAAGGATATGAATTGGTTAAAGGAAAGTAAACAATTAAATTACGAACTTTTATTCTTTATGTACAAAATCATTTATGGTTTCCTATAAATGTGGCTATTATGTCTACTAAGGGCAGGATATGTGATAGTCAGAGATGCAAAACAATCTGGCAACTTGGTGGTGCAATGAGCTACCACAAGTAATGCGGATAGGTCTCCATATGTCAGGGGAGCTAACGTATGGAATGCATTGCGAAATCACATAAAAAAAAAATGGACTCCATTCACCTCCTGTAAAAATTTAAGTAAAAACTTATCTACAAGTCAGTTAGTTGTAATAAATTTTATGTGCATGTATGTAAATCTTTTGTATGTAAATAATTTTTCTTTTCAATAATACCTACTATAATTTTTTAGTGGAATAATGACATTATTATTACTTTCTCTCTCTCTCTCTCTCTCTCTCTCTCTCTCTCTCTCTCTCTCTCTCTCTCTCTCTCTCTCTCTCTCTCTCTCTCTCTCTCTCTCTCTCTCTCTCTCTCTCTCTCTCTCTATATATATATATATATATATATATATATATATATATATATATATATATATATATATATATATATATATATATATATATATATATATATATATATATATATATATATATATATATATATATATATATATATATATATATATATATATATATATATATATATATATATATATATATATATATATATATATATATATATATATATATATATATATATATATATATATATATATATATATATATATATATATATATATATATATATATATATATATATATATATATATATATATATATATATATATATATATATATATATATATATATATATATATATATATATATATATATATATATATATATATATATATATATATATATATATATATATATATATATATATATATATATATATATATATATATATATATATATTATATATATATATATATAATATAAATATATATATATATATATATATATATATATATATATATATATATATATATATATATATATATATATATATATGTATATATATACATAATATAAATATATAATATATATATATATATATATATATATATATATATATATATATATATATATATATATATATATATATATATATATATATATATATATTTATAATATATATATATATATATATATAATATATATATATATATATATATATATATATATATATATATATATATATATATATATATATATATATATATATATATATATATATATATATATATATATATATATATATATATATAAGGAAACAGACCTTATAGCTTATATATGCTAAGGTAGAAATGAACGCATTCTATCTGGATGCAACTATGTTCATATTACAGATTCCCCAACCTCATTCGTGGTTTTGTTTTCGTATTTAATTCAACTCCCAATCGCATTCGGGACCAACAATAACCAAATAAGCACATTGCATATGTGAAAACATGAATCATTTTTACCCCGACCGGAACTTGAACCTAGGACTTATAACTATTAAGCCAAGGCACTACCAACTACACCACAGAAGGTCAAAACGAAACAGACCTTATAGCTTTAATCTGCTATAGTAGGAAAGAAAGCATTCTATTTGAATGCCACTATACTCATATTACAGCTTCCCCAACCTCACTCATGGTTTCGTTTTCGCATTTAATTCAACTTCCAATCTCATTCGGGACCAACAATAACCTAATAAGCACATGTCAATTGTGAGAGCATGAATCATTGTCATCCCGACCAGGACTTGAACCTAGAACTTGCACTTACTAAGCCAAGGCGTTACCAACTACTCCACAGACGGTTAAAAGGAAACAGACCTTATAGCTTATATCTGCTATAGTAGAAATGAACGCATTCTATCTGGATGCCACTATGTTCATATTACAGCTTCCCCAACACACACACACACACACACACACACACACACACACACACACACACACACACACACACACACACACACACATTACCTAATTTTTTGTGTAAACTGGGGAAAGCTCTTAAGCCGTTTACCTGATCGTGTGGTTCCATATTTTGTTAAAATCAGTATCCTTCCCATTTATATTAACTTGTCAGTTAGCTTGATACACGAAATAATTGAATAATTAAAAAAAAAATACCAAATATCCACCTGTCAACAGTACTGAGTTAAGTTGCCAAGTAGTACAGCTGTCTTATTTTCTTCATTTTTTTTTTTTTGCTTTTCTTTTAGCTTTCTCTTTTACTGTTTTTTTTTTATTTTGTATATATATTGAGTTAAATGTAAAGTCTAATCCTGTGATAACATATCTTGGTTAGCAAGTGAGGTTATCAGTTAGGAAGAATATATAGCAGAAACAGGTGGGTGCCACCTCAGACACAAATTCGAATTTTTCCTTCAGGTTTGACTTTTGTTTTGTTGCATTTTTTTTCTTTTTCTTTTTATCCTTAAATTACCATGGTCAAGTTTTTAGGTTAAGATGTGTGTTACCAGAAAAGAGATAAACTGAGTCACTAAATAGCACTTATATGGAGATATAAAAATTCTGTGTGAAGCTTAATTAAAAGTTTTTCTCTTTTTTTTCCTCTTTCTCGTCTTCTTTCTATATTCTGTGAGAGAGAGAACATAAAAATATCGCCATCTCTGTCCCAAACCTCTCCCATCCATGGGTCGGTAGGAGGGGTAGCCATTAGGAGACTTAAACAGAAAATCAAGAATTTAGAGGAAATAATTATAAACCTTGATGATAAAATTCGGAATATGGATGGAGAAATGAAAGAGAATGAAACACTCAGAGAGCAAATAAGATCTTTGGAGGAAGCAAATAAAGCGCAAGGGCAGGAGAGAAAGGAACTAGAAAAAAGAATAAAGAAGCTGGAAGGGGAAAAGAGTCAACTAGAATCTAGAATTTCTAAACAAGAAGATAAAAACAAACAGCTGAATGACAACCTAAAGGAATTAGATGTTAGTTCACTGCTCTCTTCTGAGAGAGACGAGATTGCTGCTTGGAATGTCCAGATTAAGGAAAACATTGAACAGTTCAAAAAAGAGTTCCAGGAGCTGAGTATGGAAAATGATGCCATGAAAACATTCTTTGCTGATGCACTACAGGGGAATGTGGCAGTAAAAGAGGCTGTAAAGGTGGTGGCACTGGAAAACATACAAACAGTTGACTATAAAGAGACAGTAATCGAAAAAATGAAAGACTTTGTGATGGAAAGGGCAAACCCACTCATCAGACAGGCACTTGATAAGGAGAAGACAGCGGTAATCTCAGGCATAAGTGAATCCCAGGAGCCAACATGGCAGGGGAGACTTGAAGAAAATAAAGCTAGGGTTGTAGACCTGATAAGAAAGCTTGGAGTAGTATGTGGTCCTGAGGATATTGTCAACATACACCAACTAGGTAAATATTCGAGGGAAGGAAGGCCGAGACCAACAAAAGTAACCTTTGAGAGAGGGGAAACATGTAGGGAAATATTGTTGAGAAAAAAAGTCTAAAAGACCTTCAAGAATTCAAAGAAGTGTTCATTAGACGATACAGAACACAGGAAGAGATGGGAAAGATCAAAAACTTTTTGCAAGAGGCAAGAAGGTTAAATGATGAAAGAAATGAAGAAGAGAAGAAAAATTTTCATTACAGAGTTCTTCCAGACAAAGGGGAGATAAAGAAGATAATGACAGAAGATCAGGGGATGGGGACTCATTAAGATTGTTATACACAAATGCTGATGGATTAGCTGGTAAGGCAGTAGAATTAAAAGATAGGATTCACAACAGTAAGGCAGATATAGTAGCAATTACAGAGACTAAGTTGAGTGAGGACATAAACAGTGTCACAGTTTTTCCTAAGGGTTTCAGAATACTAAGGGTTGAAAGATCTGAGAGGACTGGTGGAGGGATAGCACTGCTCATAAGTGAAAGGATTCAAGTCGAAGAAATAAACTTGGCTATAGAAAGTGAGTTCAAGGAATTTCTTGTTGCTCGCATAAATACTGGGTCAGAGAGCATTATAATAACTGTTGTATACAACCCACCAAGGAACCAAAATAGGCTTGAAGTTTATGAGGAAAGTCATATAGGTGCTATTGAAGTCATAAACTCAGTTGTTAACATGGCACGGGAAAAAATGTAGGATTTTGATTATGGGAGACTTTAATCATAAAGAGATAGATTGGATAAATCTTGACCCACACATTGGTGAGGACTCATTCGGGGCAAGATTCCTAGATTGCGTACAAGGGAATTTCCTACACCAACATGTAATGGAACCAACAAGGGCCAGGGGTGGGGATGAGCCATCACTACTTGATCTAGTGTTCACAGATAATGTGTTGGATATTGAAAAAATTGAGTATGAACCACCAATTGGAAAGAGTGACCACTGTGTGTTGTTGATGGAGTATATCATTGAAGATATTCTTCCTGAGAGTAGAGGCACTGAGGACATGAGGAGGAACTATCCGAAAGGAGATTACATCAAAATGAATGAGCTTTTTGCAGTTATTGACTGGAGAACCTTATTTTACAACAAATCTATCCAAGAAATGTATGACATCTTTTGTGAGAAATATGGGAAGATAGTAGATTGCTGCATACTTGTCACCAAAGTAGGTGTAATTCATGCCAGAGAGAAATGGTTCGATAATGGGTGTAAAAGAGCTAAGGAGTGGAGAGACAAATGCTGGAAAAGGTATAGGAGGAGAAAAAACATAATGCCTGGCAAACCTACAAAAGAGCAAGAAATTACTACCTAAGTAAATGGAGAGAGGCAGAGAGAGACTATGAGAGGGACATCACTAGGAAGGCTAAAGACCATCCCAAGCTTTTCCACAGCTTTATCAGAGGAAAACTGAAGGTAAAAGAACAGGTTTTAAGGCTAAAGAGAGCGGATGGAAGCATCACTGAGACGGATGAAGAGATCTGCAAAGAACTGAACAAGGAGTTTCAGTCAGTATTTACAGTAGAAAATACCCCACCCCCTCAGATTGCAGTGATAGAAGCTCAAGGGCCGGTATTAGAGAACATCAACCTTACAGCCACAGAGGTATGCAAAGCGCTGATGGATTTAGATGTTCATAAAGCTACAGGTCCTGATGACATATACCCTCATGTGCTTAAAAAATGCGCAAACACAATATCAGTGACACTAAGTATCATATTTAAGGAGTCACTGGAGTCGGGGGAGATTCCAAGATGCTGGAAACAAGCAAATGTGATACCTATCTTCAAAAAGGGAAGGAGGGATACGGCTCTGAACTATAGACCAGTTTCCTTGACCAGCATAGTTTGCATAGTTATGGAGAAACTACTAAGGAAACATATCTCTCTTCACTTGGAATCCTTCAACTTTTTGTCAGTGAGGCAACATGGCTTCAGAGAAGGTAGATCAACAGTAACAAACTTATTAGAATTTTATGATGAGGTAAGCCAAATCTTACAGGAAAGAGAGGGCTGGGCAGATTGCATATTCCTAGACTTCCAGAAAGCGTTTGACACTGTTCCACATGGGAGACTTATTAGGAAGCTGCAATCAATGGCTAGAATAGGTGGAAATGTTTTGGAATGGATAAAAACTTACTTAGAAGGAAGGGAACAGAGGGTTAGAGTAAGACACTCAGTGTCTGAATGGAGAAGAGTTAGTAGTGGAGTTCCACAGGGTTCAGTTTTAGGGCCACTTTTGTTCCTTGTATATGTAAATGACCTACCAGAGTCTGTAAATTTATTCATGAATATGTTTGCAGATGATGCAAAGATTGTGAAGAAAGTAAAAAACGAGAACAATGGTAGAGAACTTCAGGAGGATCTAAATAATCTGCATGAGTGGTCAGAAAAGTGGCTAATGAAATTCAATACTTCAAAATGTAAGGTAATGAGAATGGGTACAAGTGCAAGAAGGCTCAAGCTTGACTACTCGGTGGCTGGAGTACAACTTCAAGAGACAGAAAATGAGAGAGATCTAGGAGTAAACATACTGGCAGATTTGTCTCCAGAAATACATATAAATGGCATAGTAAGGGCAGCAGATGCATTCTTATCAAATGTAAGGGTAGCCTTCAGGCACATGGACAAGGAAATGTTCAGAAATATTTATGTAACCTATGTGAGGCCAAAACTGGAATATGCAGCCCCCTTTTGGAATCCGCACTTGAAAAAGCACATAGCTAAGCTTGAAAAAGTTCAAAGACATGCCACGAAACTGGTGCCAGAAATACGCAATCTCAGTTATGATGAGAGGCTGAGGGAATTAGACTTACCATCACTCGAAGCTAGAAGAGTGAATAGATAGAGTGGATAGGGATCGATATTTTGATATGGCTGGCTCTAGAACTAGAGGTCATAGTTTGAAGCTTCGTAAGAAAACTTCTTTGCAGGATGTAAGGAAATACTTTTTCAGTGTAAGAGTAGTTGATAATTGGAACTGGCTAAGCGAGGAGGTAGTTAATGCTATCTCAATCCATAGTTTTAAGGACAGGTATGATAAGTATCACTAAGTCTAAAATGGAACCGATGAGGAGACGGGAAGATACGAGCTTTGGGCTCTTTCCCGTAAACACAATTAGGTAATCACAATTAGGTAATCACACACACACACACACACACACACACACACACACACCACATACACACACACATACACACACACATACACACACACATACACACACACATACACACACACATATATATATATATATATATATATATATATATATATATATATATATATATATATATATATATATATATATATATATATATATATATATATATATACATATATTTATCTTAAGCTTTAAGCCATTTCTATATTAAGTCT